ACCTGGTGGTAGAGACATCATTCCCACCCCCCTCTCTCCCCCCTCCCCTCCCCTTCCCTCCCCTTCCCTTCCCCTTCCCTCTCTCCCTCCCCCATATTCACCACTCAAACAGGCCTCAGTTCCGGAAACAAATACAGCGTGACCTAACTCGGCGACACATATTCAAGCATGTATGCAAGCAGAGGTCGTGACCCCACTCCTCCCTCTCTCTCTCCCATTCGCAAATGTGTCTATTTCAGTCCCTCCGTACGCGACTGTTCCCCCCCCTCTTAATAACTCATCATTCTTGATGAGGAAGGGATGAGGGAGCGATGAGTCCTGTACTCCCAAGCTCCACACTGCGCTCGAGTCCTGTACTTCAGGGCTCCACACTGCGCTCGAGTCCTGTACTTCAGGGCTCCACACTGCGCTCGAGTCCTGTACTTCAGGGCTCCACACTGCGCTCGAGTCCTGTACTTCAGGGCTCCACACTGCGCTCGAGTCCTGTACTTCAGGGCTCCACACTGCGCCCGAGTCCTCCAGCGCTACAAGGTGTTCGTGAAAATACCTGGAATGCCTAAGAAAACATCTGAAACGCTTGTTAAACACCTGGTATACACTTATTAAATACCTGAAACGTTTATGGAAACATCTGGAAAGGTAATAAGTCACATAGAAAGTTGATGTAAACACCTGAGACGTTTATAAAACACCTGGAACGTTTATTAAACACCTGGAACGTTTATAAAACAACTGGAACGTTTATAAAAACACCTGAAACTTTTATGAAACACCTGAAACGTTTATAAAACACCTGAAACGTTTATTATACACCTGAAACGTTTATAAAAACACCTGACACGTTTATAAAACACCTGGAACGTTTATAAAACACCTGGAACGTTTATAAAACACCTGGAACGTCTGAAAAAGCAGCAAATGAGGACTGAAAATGGGTGCTGGATTGTACCACTGCCAAACGTTAAAGAAACTGTCCAGGAAGACAGGCGAGAATGACTCGGTTGTTGTTGTTAAAGATTTGCTACTTGGAACAAACAGTTCCAAGTAGCACGGGCTATGGTGAGCCCGTAGGTACTTAATGACTCGGTGCTGAGGAAAATAAGGAGAAAGAGCTTCTCCTGATGCCAGCTGGTTGCACAAGGAGTCCTTGTGAGTCATCAGTCCATGTGAGACGCACTCTTGAGTATGCTGAACCAGCATGGAACCTCCAGTTGATGAGACTCGTTGTGTAATGAGACTCGTTCTTGATACGAGGCAATTGTGTTGTGTGGGATGACTGATGGAACTTTGTTATGAGAGGTTGAGAGGGCTGTGTTATGTGGAGTGGGTGAGAGGGCTGAGTACTGCTGAGTGACTGAGGGAAATGTGCATTAAAGAGGCTCCGAGAGGAACTAAACTACAAGACCAGGCTGAGATCACTAGCGATCACGACTGTCAGGCGAAAAATAACTTTCAAAAGATAAACAAACTTACTTAAAAAAACTTATAAAGCCGGCCAAGAACTTCAAACCCCAAAAACAACATAACTAACATTCACAGATGAACACAAAGAACATATAAGAATCCCAAATATATCACAATCACCATCCTTATCAACATATTCGTCTAAGATAATTCAGTGTAGATATTTCTATGTAAATTGAATTAAAATAGTTCGAAAAGAGACTTTTTAAGAAGGCGGTTGTTTCAGCAGGCCGGCGGAGGTAAGAGGACCTGGGCGCTGGAGGCGGCTGGGCCCCACAAGCGCACATGCCCTTTAGTAAGTCTGGCTACGGACGGCATTCTCCCTTCCTCCTCTCTCTCTCTCTCTCTCTCTCTCTCTCTCTCTCTCTCTCTCTCTCTCTCTCTCCCTGCTTCTGGGTGAGGGGAAGGGGTAGGGGAGGGCTTCGGCCCCTTACGTGGTCCAGCAGGGGAGTGGGGTTGAGTTTTTTTTTCTCTCTCTCCTCTGTCTCTGCTACACAAGAGGTATGGGAGCGAGGTTTATAACTCCCTCTCTTTGTGCTCTTAGGGAGAGATGGGGTGAGGCCAGTTATCTTTTGTTTCAGCATTATACTTTGGTACTGTGTGTGTGTGTGTGTGTGTGTGTGTGTGTGTGTGTGTGTGTGTGTGTGTGTGTGTGTGTGTACTCACCTAGTTACTCACCTAGTTGTGCTTGCGGGGGTTGAGCTCTGGCTCTTTGGTCCCGCCTCTCAACCGTCAATCAACAGGTGTACAGATTCCTGAGCCTATTGGGCTCTATCATATCTACATTTGAAACTGTGTATGGAGTCAGCCTCCACCACATCACTGCCTAATACATTCCATTTGTCAATCGTGTGTGTGTGTGTGTGTGTGTGTGTGTGTGTGTTGTGTGTGTGTGTGTGTGTGTGTGTGTGTGTGTGTGTGTGTCTGTGTGTGAGTGTCTCACAGATCCACCATCGGCTGATACACAGCTGACACACATGATACATACTAGCAAGCGATACACAGTGACACTTGATAGTACATTCGGACACACGTGATTCACGTTAATATGTAATACATTATGACATCTAATATGTACCGACTCACATACTTGGGAGAACCTTGGCACCGGGTACCACCTTTAGCATACATATACACACACACACACACACAATATACATATAATTTTACATGCATGGTTACTTAACAAATAAGATTCCAGGACACACGGAAGGTTTCTTGACAAGAAAGGCTTATGAACACTCACAAACCCCTCAATGTTACCGTCAATGAAACGCTCATTTGCATACGCAGGCTAATTATTTTTACCCGTAGCGGGCTTCAGGCAGTAATTAGCGGGGTAATTAGGACACCTCCAGCTCGGGGTGTTAGCGGCAGTTTGGTGGAAATTCGATGCTCTGATTTTGGTAATTGGCTCGTGATAATTGTCCCTGTTATAACCGATTAAATAACTAGCGTGGGCTTCTGTTGATGTCCCATCTGTTGTCTGTAGAACCAGTTTAGCCGTTGATGCTGTTCTGTTGATGTTGTTCTGTTGTCTATAGGGCGAGGAATGCTGTTGGTGATGTTCTGAGGGGAGATTGACGGGGAGAGAGAGAGGGAGAGGAGGGGTAAGGGAGAGGGATAGAGAAACGAAGGCATCGCCATGAATAATTGGTTTAAAATATTATATATATATATATATATATATATATATATATAGATATATATCAGGGTATATTATATATATATATACAATGGAAAACCATCGCCAAAAAGATTTTCCGCATAAATATATATCAGTGTATTTCGTTAATTATATATATATATATATATATATATATATATATATATATATATATACCTGTATATATATATATAATATATATATATATATATATATTAAAGACAATTCAAATGTCCCTTTGAGACAGACGTGTAACAAACCTGTACACAAGGAACTAGTGTTCAGGAGAACATACCTCAGTGGTCTTGAACAGGAAGAGGAAGGTGCTTCTCCACCGCCCCTCCACCAGCCTCCCCATCAACCCTTCAACTGCGCCGCCGGAGCCACACATGACCACCTCTTTTTCCTGGTCGCCTCCTTCAAGGCTGTCTGTCTCTCTCTCCCAATAACCATCTGAGACCCACCATCTTGATCACATTACACACTACTCTGTGCGGTTAAGGGGGCGGCTCTCACCATCACACAACCTAAATTACAAAGCAGAACATGTTATTGCTCAATCAGTCATGTATTGAAACGTGTCTTTGAACATTTCAAGTCGTAAAAGAACACAGTGCTTCTTGAGAGGTTATCTTGAGATGATTTCGAGGCTTTGTGTCCCCCGGCGGCCCGGTCCTCGACCAGGCTTCCACTCCCAGGAAGCAGCCCGTGACAGCTGACTAACTCACAGGTACCTATTTACTGATAGGTAACAGGAGCATCAATGTGAAAGAAACTCTGCCTATTGTTTCTCGCCGGCGCCCGGGATTGAACCCGGGACCACAGGATCACGCGTCCAGTGTTCTGTCCGCTCAGCCACCGGCTCCCTTGAGTATGCTGAATATGTTTATGTACTAGAGGCCTAGGGGCCCTCGTGGCTGAGTGGACAGCGCTCGGGGGTCGTAGTCCAAAGGGCCCGGGTTCTACTGCCGGCCGAGGCAGAAACAAATAGGCAGAGCTTTTTTCACCCTGATGCCTGTTCACCTAGCAGTAAATAGATACTTGGGGATTAGACAGCTGCTATGGAATGCTTCCTGAGGATGTGTGTGTGTGTGTGTGTGTGTGTGTGTGTGTGTGTGTGTGTGTGTGTGTGTGTGTGTGGTGTCCCCTAGTGTGTGTGTGTGTGTGTTAGATATATGTGTAATAGACATAATAGAGGTCAGCCTCCAGACTGTGTGTGTGTGTGTGTCTGTATTTTTCTAAAAAATAAATTAATATTTAGAAATAGAAAAATACACATCACACACACACACACACACACACACACACACACACACACACACACACACACACACTACACATAAACGCTACATGTACCTAACCTTCACCTTTGCTCCACTCTCCAGATTCGTATTATCCCTGACGTCGTCCAACCTGGTGTCGACGGTGATGGTGGTGCCTCTCCACGCCCTCAGACTCGGCGGCCTCATCCCTCTCCTCACTCCCGCCACTACTGAAGGCGCTGACGGTGGCCAGTACGTCAGTCGCGGGGCCGAGGAGTTCTGGTGGTGCCAGGTCTCCAAGGCACTCATGGCTTTAGCTGTCGAAGCTGCCATCTTCTCGGTCCTGCTCATTGCCGTCGACAGGTGAGTTGAGAGCAGGTAGACACCATGTCTTAATGAGCAGTGGCTCACCTGAGAAGCTCCCAGGAGTTTACCTGGGAGATGGGAGAGCCAACTGATGCACCAGGGAGTTACCTGGGAGATGGGAGAGCCAACTGATGCACCAGGGAGTTACCTGGGAGATGGGAGAGCCAACTGATGCACCAGGGAGTTACCTGGGAGATGGGAGAGCCAACTGATGCACCAGGGAGTTACCTGGGAGATGGGAGAGCCAACTGATGCACCAGGGAGTTACCTGGGAGATGGGAGAGCCAACTGATGCACCAGGGAGTTACCTGGGAGGTGGGAGAGCCAACTGATGCACCAGGGAGTTACCTGGGAGATGGGAGAGCCAACTGATGCACCAGGGAGTTACCTGGGAGATGGGAGAGCCAACTGATGCACCAGGGAGTTACCTGGGAGATGGGAGAGCCAACTGATGCACCAGGGAGTTACCTGGGAGATGGGAGAGCCAACTGATGCACCAGGGAGTTACCTGGGAGATGGGAGAGCCAACTGATGCACCAGGGAGTTACCTGGGAGGTGGGAGAGCCAACTGATGCACCAGGGAGTTACCTGGGAGGTGGGAGAGCCAACTGATGCACCAGGGAGTTACCTGGGAGGTGTTTGAGAAATGAAATCTGGGGACAATAGTTCAACTTCCTTTCCAACTTGAGAATAGAGTAAGAAATATAGAGAAGCTTAGCAGATGTTTGGTACTCCTTACTAAGCAGGTGTTGGGGAGTCCTTACTAAGCAGGTGTTGGGGAGTCCTTACTAAGCAGGTGTTGGGGAGTCCTTACTAAGCAGGTGTTGGGTCCTCGTCCAACAGGTACTGCGCCGTCACCTCTCCGCTCCACTACTCGATGACCATCACGCGAGGGCGTAGCGTCAGGCTCATCGTGGGCGTGTGGGCGTTAGCTCTTCTCTACGCCCTGCCTCAACTGCTCGCCCACACCCCCGCCCACCTCCGCCCAGCCTCCAGACTCTCATCTTGCCCCGACGGTAAGATAACTGATTCTTAGTTCGCCTATGTGTCTCACTGACGCAGGTGATATCTACGTGGTTATCTTACGGATTTACTAGTATACAGAGAATGTAACAGTAAGCAAGGACTATGTCACGCTATGCAGTAAATATGTCACGCTATGCAGTAAATATGTCACGCTATGCAGTAAATATGTCACGCTATGCAGTATGTCAATCTATGTAGTATGTATGTCACACTATGCTGTAAATATGTTACGCTGTGTTGGACGGACCGAAACTTGTCTAAAGGGTCCAGGACGGACCGAAACTTGTCTAAAGGGTCCATGATGGTCCGAAACTTGTCTAAAGGGTCCAGGACGGACCGAAACTTGTCTAAAGGGTCTAGGACGGACCGAAACGTTGTCTAACGGGTCCAGGACTGACCGAAACGTTGTCTAAAGGGTCCATGATGGTCCGAAACTTGTCTAAAGGGTCCAAGACGGATCGAAACATTGTCAAGGGGTCCAAGATGGACCTAAGCGTCGCCATACACATGCTTGACGTACGTGGGAGATGCAAAACTTCGTCACAATAGCGTGTGATGTGTTTGCAAATCCAGAAAACAATGATACTCTCCTGAAAATACATTTTCACATAAAATTTTCAGCTTAATACTATTTGGTTTTGCCGGAGACTGGGAGGAAATAAAATGTGTCTAACCATTTATTTCCCAACATGGAATCTAACCCGAGCCTCCCCCGATTGTGAGTTGGGAACGAAGCCAACTATGTTACGAGAAATATAATTGGGTTTCCTTGCGATATTTGTGTGACACATTTTCATTCCAATTTTCACTTAAATAGATAAAACAGAGTTAATTCTACACAGAAATAAAACTGATGTTTTTCTCCTGCTGCTGTTGGAATACACACACCAATTACATCGATAGATCTGATTGGCTGATAGAATTACGACCTCACTCTGAACCTTTTGTTGTGGAGCTGTACTTTTTTTGTGTTAATTGATCTCTTTTTTTTGGGGGAGGGAGGGTAGAGCTTAAGCTCTTGGGTCCTAATTTTAATCGTTTAGTCCAGTGGTGTAGTTGTTATATAACTGTATGTTATGTGTGGAGTCTGCCTCCACTACTTCATAACTTGTGTATGGAGTCTACCTCCACCACACCACAACCAGTGTATGGAGTCTACCTCCACCACACCACAACCCGTGTATGGAGTCTACCTCCACCACTCCACAACCCGTGTATGGAGTCTACCTCCACCACTCCACAACCCGTGTATGGAGTCTCCCTCCACCACTCCACAATTTACATTACATTTTTGTGACAACAGAACAGAGCTCTCCGTCACGGACTTTCCATACACTTAGCGTCTAATATCAAGACTTACGACCACCTCATCTCCCATCATAAACACACATAAATAAGTGAATAGAATATATTAATAATTTCTTACGTCTGAAGATCACATTAACATAATGATGGCAAGTGTCCTCGTTGCCATCAGGAACCTAGACAAAGGTTCGAATCGGTATATATACACAACCTACGTTATACCGGCCCTTGAACATGCAGCTCCTGCAGGAAGATATGCGACACGACTTGTTTGCAGTCAACAGGAGAAGGAATTCAACTTCATCACGCCGGTGGAGGTACACAACAGGGGACACACGGTAACAACAGTTCAAGACGTTGTAGGGAATTATTTGCCAGTGGCAATGTTCACAATGTTCACAATGTTCACAATGTTCACATTAGTAAACTGTAAAACTGAAGGTTTCTCGTGGATGCTGGGAACACAGATGAGTAGGAGAGATGAACACAGGTGTGGAGCAGGGGTGGAGTTTCACAGGTGTGGACCAGGGGTAGAGTTTCACAGGTGTGGAGCAGGGGTGGAGTTTCACAGGTGTGAAGCAGGGGAGGAGTTTCACAGGTGTGAAGCAGGGGTGGAGTTTCACAGGTGTAAAGCAGGGGTATAGTTTCACAGGTGTGAAGCAGGGGTGGAGTTTCACAGGTGTGAAGCAGGGGTGGAGTTTCACAGGTGTGAAGCAGGGGTGGAATTTCGCAGGTGTGAAGCAGGGGAGGAGTTTCACAGGTGTGAAGCAGGGGTGGAATTTCGCAGGTGTGAAGCAGGGGTATAGTTTCACAGGTGTGAAGCAGGTGTGGAGTTTCACAGGTGTGAAGCAGGTGTGGAGTTTCACAGGTGTGAAGCAGGGGTATAGTTTCACAGGTGTGAAGCAGGTGTGGAGTTTCACAGGTGTGAAGCAGGGGTGGAGTTTCACAGGTGTGAAGCAGGAGTGAAGTTTCACAGGTGTAAAGCAGGGGTATAGTTTCACAGGTGTGAAGCAGGGGTGGAGTTTCACAGGTGAGACAGTCTCAGGTGTAAGCTAAAAATAAGAATTCTGGGAAATCCTCCAGCACACCCTTGCCCCCTCTATGGAACATCCAGCTTATGGGGGTTGGCGATGTGTAATGAAAGCCTTAACTGGAAACCATTGGCCCCATCAGTGCTCAGCCGATACTGACAAGGAAATTAGTCATTATTGAAGAGATGGGGAGGCCACTTAGTCGATAATCCTTCACAACACTGACGATAATACTTTTGGAATCAACTCGTGAATATATTATGTTGATGGTAAGGTAGCTGGCATTGTAATTAAACTATTTGAACACACACACACACACACACCAAAGAGCCAGAGCTCAACCCCCGCAAACACAATTAGGTGAGTAGGTGAGTACACACACACACATTAAGTAGTGATGTGGTGGAGGCTGACTCCATACACAGTTTCAAATGTAGATATGATAGAGCCCAGTAGGCTCAGGAACCTGTACACCAGTTGATTGACAGTTGTGAGGCGGGACCAAAGAACCAGAGCTCAATCCCCGCAAACACAATTAGGTGAGTAGGTGAGTAGACACACACACACACACACACACACACACACAGACACACACACATGCCTCCATCACTCAGATATGCTGGAGCTGTGAAATGGGTTCGAACTAACATCTTAGACACCGAGGCCCAAACTCTATTGTGTATATTGAAGTATGTTTCGCATTAAGTTTACCGAAGTATGTTTACCCAACACGGATTCTGAAGTTTAAATGAAATACACACAATAAATAAATTAAAAATACACGACTAATACCGGAAATGTGAATCCTGTTTAACGAAGACAAAGAGAACTGGATCTTCAACCCCTGGAGAGAAGATTTAGCAGAGACATGATTCTGATGTACAAGATACAGAAATGGTCAAGGTTCCAAAATATAAATTATTCCAAAAGAGACAATAGGTGTAAACTGGATATTTAGATGTACCGTAGAGGTGTAATGGGTGTACTAGTTCAGTGTGGGTTTAGTGGGTGGGTGTACTAGTTCAGTGTGGGTGTAGTGGGTGGATGTAATGGTTCAGTGTGGGTGTAGTGGGTGGATGTACTGGTTCAGTGAGGGTGTAGTGGGTGGATGTACTGGTTCAGTGAGGGTGTAGTGGGTGGATGTACTGGTTCAGTGAGGGTGTAGTGGGTGGATGTACTGGTTCAGTGAGGGTTTAGTGGGTGGATGTACTGGTTCAGTGAGGGTGTAGTGGGTGGATGTACTAGTTCAGTGTAGGTGTAGTGGGTGGGTGTATAATGATTCACTGTACTGAACTAATCACCCCAGTATTCAAGACCCCTGCTCATGCCCCTCCCACCCCCCCACCCCCCCCACACCATCCAACCCCACCCCCCCACCCATCCTCCCCCCACCCCCCCCCCCTCTCCTCCACACCAATGTTTATTCTCCCGACTTTTAATTGGAGATAATTACACGCAATCCCATCGGCGATAACTTTACTTTAATATCTCTTACTTGATGGGAATTTTCTCTGGGACTGTTGCATTATCCACGGGGCTCAGTTTACAGCGAATGAGCTCGATCATCAAATGCGTAATTAAGCTCGTCTTGAGCTGGGGTCTTACGGATGTGGTTCAGTTTGACATGATCCGTGGCAAGAGTGATTTGGCTGAGTTTCCATGATCGTAAACTCAAACGGGTTTGAGTTTACCATGGGTATTAGAGACCTGTTTGAGTTTACCATGGGTATTAGAGATCTGTTTGAGTTTACCATGGGTATTAGAGACGTGTTTGAGTTTACCATGGGTATTAGAGACCAGGTTGAGTTTACCATGGGTATTATAGACCTGCTTGAGTTTACGGTGAGGCATCAGAGACGTCGTTCAACTTACCATGATCGTAGAAATAAACAGTTTTCATCATTACAAACAGATTCAGCAAAAATATTAGTGCATCAAAAAGTTTTCACAATTTTCCTTTTTTTTCCACGATTTCCACTGCTCAGTGAATCATCGCTTGCATCTTAAACTTGGCGTATAGTTGTAATTTGCATACAGATGCATTGTTAGCATGTTTCCCACCATGATATCATGGTCAGACGTCGACGAGGCGCTTACGGAATTCAACTTAGTTTTGCGTGATTTGGATGACCGCTGTTCACCTTCGAGAACATAGATTAAGGAACAAAATTTGAAAAGAATATAACTCTCCGATCCAGTTCTGCCAAGTTTTTAATTTTCATAGTGAAAATGTGCATGACATTACTGTGGTTTAGTAGCACCATCCAGATGTCTGCTGGAACACCATCCAGATGTCTGCTGGGACACCATCCAGGTGTTTGCTGGAACACCATCCAGGTGTCTGCTGGGACACCACCCAGGTGTCTGCTGGAACACCATCCAGGTGTCTGCTGGAACACCATCCAGGTGTTTGCTGGAACACCATCCAGGTGTCTGCTGGAACACCATCCAGGTGTCTGCTGGAACACCATCCAGGTGTTTGCTGGAACACCATCCAGGTGTCTGCTGGAACACCAGCCAGGTGTCTGCTGGAATACGCAAGTTTAGCAGGCATCTCATTATACTTGAAGATTTACTATATTGTTGCTAAACTAAATAAATATATCATTATGGCAAATCTCACACGAGGTGAATTCGGTCGTCTTAAGCACTGTTGAATGTTCAGCTGCTTAACAGCCTCGTATGGGTGATGTTGCTGCCCTTGGCAAGGTAAACAGTGCTTGGAGGAAATGATCAAGACGTATCCGTGCGGTGCAATGTCGCGGTCATTGCTCCTCGCTGCCTGGCCTCATGTCCACAACTTCATATAAGGGATATAGTTCACTCACGAATGATATCCTTCAGTTTAAGCGAATCATCCTCTTCAGCTAACAGCATTAGCAGTGATAGCATTAGTAATACTGTGATAAAACAGTATTAAACATTGTGTATCATTGGCCATTCTTTGTTAGAAATTGAAATTGAAATTGAAATAAGTTTATTGAGGTAAAATACACACAAAGGGATGAGGTTGTTCAAGCTATTCTCACCCCATTCAGTACATCGTGTTAATACATACATAGACACACATCACAAACAATAAACATATTACCAAACATTCTGAGAGATAAACATATACATTTCCTCCTTTACACAAGTAATTCTTTGTTAGAAAAATAAAAATAATGGAAAGATAAACACAACGGCAGGGAAGACATATGCAGGCGATGAGTCACAATAACGTGGCTAAAGTATGTTGACCAGAGTATGTTTAGAATCGACTTGAGAATGGTCCTGGACGGACCGAAACGTCGTCGTCCCTTCACCTTCTAGTGTGTGGTCTGGTCGGCAAGGAAGACACATCTACGGCTATAGGCGGAGGGTTCCTACATGTGTATGTGTTCTGGGACTTTGAGATCCAGGCAACCCCATGAATTGGCTGATATAGAACTGAAAACATGTATACTGCCTTATTTGACGATGTTGAAATGAAAAACATTACATTTACTTTTTCTTCTGATGATGTGGAACTGAAGACATTATGTATAGTGTTTCTTTTATTGATTTAGAACCGATGTATTATGTCTCGAAAATAATTTTTTTTATTATGTGTGTTTAGTATTTGTGCAAAATTTATGCTTGTTTAATCAATGTTCATGATGTGTATTAACAATAATTGTATTATTAATAGGAAAAACTATTATAATATTATAAAATATTGTTACTAAACCGGTTTTCTTCCGGTATTTTCCCTGTTTCCGGAATCCGTAGCACAGCAACTTTACTGTAGCCTAATTAGTGACTGTCATCTTCTCTGCAGGTCAGGATGTGGTTCCTGCTGTGCCCGTCAAGTTCGGGCTGTACTACGCTGTGCTGCTGGCGCTGTGTGGATTCCTGGTGCCGCTGTTGGTGCTGTGCTGGATATACGTTCGGATGTACCGCGCTGCCCGCCGTAACTCCGCTCGTACGCGGCGACACAGCGTCTGTCATAACCCTGCGGAGATCATCATTCCTGACTGTCCCTCTACTCCAGACTCCGGGAATCACAACTCCGTCAGGTGCAAAGCCCGCACGCACCGCCGCCGTACGTCTAACATCAGCTTCTCTTCGCTTTTCTTCCGCGAGGAAGGTCGCGCCGTGAAGACAGCTGTCATCGTCATAGCCTCCTTCGTCACGTCGTGGATGCCATATTTTATTTTTAAAATATTTGAAGCCGGTGGGTGGTCGAGGGATAGCCCGTACGTTGACGAGGCGGTGACGTACTTAGCTCTGTCTTCCTCCTGCACTAGTCCTTTTATATACGTCTACCGGAACGACACGGCCAGTAAAGAGGTGCTGAAAATTATATGTTGGTGGCGGCCGCCCAGCCCCGGTTCTCCGTCATTTACGCGCTCTTCCCTCAACCCAAAGATGGGTAATGGCCACGCCACCACGCCCGTGCGGATCATCGAGCCAGATACCGCATCCCTCTACAGCTACGCCACAGAGTGCGGCGCATGCGGCCATAACCAACTGGTGTGTTCGCTGCGGAACGGCAGACCTGTGACCTCTCCGTTGCCGCCAGAGCAGCGGAGGGCTCTCAGCCCCCGGCGGGAAAGTACCGTTTCGTTCAAGTTGACGCCGATGGACCGCCCGCCGTCCAGATGTCGCCAGTGTTTGCGTCAGGACTCCGCGTCCTCAGCTTCGTCTGACGACCCTTTACTCAGCGATTGTTACCGCCACCATCGCCCATCTAATCCTTCCGTCAGATGGACGCGGCCGCGGATGTCAAACGGGTCAGTTACGACGAGAAGCGACTCGCTAGCTTCCACTAACTCCTCGGTACTCAGCGCCGGTATCCAACGGTGGCCTATAAGACGGTACTCAACGGTATCTACCGACAGCGGCGGGACCATCACCAGACGCAGCGCTCACGAAGACCCCGACGATGACGTGGTGTCAGCACGTCTTCATCCCCCTGGCGGCCAACGCTCACTCTTCCTGGAGAGTGAAGAAGATACACTTGACGCCGGCACCAATCAGCCCGAGATTCACGGCTACGCTAACCCCTTCCGCCACCCTCGTCTCAGCCACCGGCAGGAGTCGGTGGGGTCCTCGGTGAGGTTTATATGGGAGATTGAGGAAGGAGACGGCCAGGACGACGACACTACTGAGGGAGAGGCCCAAAACGCGCCTCCTAGGTGACCTTTGGCCCGGTCGCCCTCACTAATGAACCTGGCCGGGGCCTGCCAGAGGCAAGATTCAGACGACTCTCAGACCAGCAACTGGAGACTGTCAGTATGAGGTCAACTGACAACTCCCTCAGTAAAGCTGTCAACTGGAGAGACGTTAAACTGTCAACTGAGCAGATGGGAAGCTATGATGGAAATTAATATTTCCTCTGTGGTATTAAATTGTAGTATACTCATTATTACCTTTATATGTATTGTTTAACCAAATAACTTAAAACAACTATGTATGTGTACGCAGAAAATGTCCTTAATATTCTACGATTCATCCGAATTCCGATGGAAATGGAAACATTTCTATTACTCTAAACTGCCGACTCAATTATAAGAAAATAGAATCTAGACCCACTCTGCTGACCCTCAGAGATCACATCACAAACTATTTCAGTGATGGGTTTCCACTGGAGCCTCTACCTCTGAGAATCTGTGTTTTCACAGGAGCTCTACCTGTGAAACTCTGGGTTTCCACAGGAGCCCTACCTGTGAAATTCTGGGTTTTCACAGGAGCTCTACCTGTGAAATTCTGGGTTTTCACAGGAGCCCTACCTGTGAAACTCTGGGTTTCCACAGGAGCCCTACCTATGAAACTCTGGGCTTCACAGGAGCCCTACCTATGAAACTCTGGGCTTCACAGGAGCCCTACCTGTGAAACTCTGGGTTTCCACAGGAGCCCTACCTGTGAAACTCTGGGCTTCCACAGCAACTCTACCTGTGAAACTCTGGGCTTCAAAGGAGCCCTACTGTGAAAATCTGTGTTTCAAGGAGCCCTACCTGTGAAACTCTGGGCTTCACAGGAGCCCTACCTGTGAAATTCTGGGTTTTCACAGGAGCCCTACCTGTGAAACTCTGGGTTTCCACAGGAGCCCTACCTATGAAACTCTGGGCTTCACAGGAGCCCTACCTGTGAAATTCTGGGTTTTCACAGGAGCCCTACCTGTGAAACTCTGGGTTTCCACAGGAGCCCTACCTATGAAACTCTGGACTTCACAGGAGCCCTACCTATGAAACTCTGGGCTTCACAGGAGCCCTATCTATGAAACTCTGGGCTTCACAGGAGCCCTACCTGTGAAACTCTGGGCTTCACAGGAGCCCTATCTACGAAACTCTGGGCTTCACAGGAGCCCTATCACTGGACAAAAATATTTGCCGGCGTAGAGGGACTTTCCGGTGTACTGTGTAGCGTGATCTCGTTGCCTTTTGGTTCTTAGAGAGCTGCGGATGTGCTTATTATTAGTCCTTAACATGTGGTTGAGGAAGTAAATGGATGATATGCCACGCTGGTTCTCTAGGACTGTCATACAGTGTCAGACGAACCAGCACATTGTCATGCCGTGTTATTTAGGTCACCGCGGTGCCATGCAGTGTCAGTCGAGTCAGGGGCCGTGCTATACGGTGTCAGTCGAGCCAGCACCGTGCTATAGGGTGTCAGTCGAGCCAGCACCGTGCTATAGGGTGTCAGTCGAGCCAGCACCCTATTATACGGTGTCAGTCGAGCCAGCACCCTATTATACGGTGTCAGTCGAGCCAGCACCCTATTATACGGTGTCAGTCGAGCCAGCACCCTATTATACGGTGTCAGTCGAGCCAGCACCCTATTATACGGTGTCAGTCGAGCCAGCACCCTATTATACGGTGTCAGTCGAGCCAGCACCCTATTATACGGTGTCAGTCGAGCCAGCACCGTGCTATACGGTGTCAGTCGAGCCAGCACCCTATTATACGGTGTCAGTCGAGCCAGCACCGTGCTATACGGTGTCAATCGAGCCAGCACCCTATTATACGGTGTCAGTCGAGCCAGCACCGTGCTATACGGTGTCAGTGCACCCTATTATACGGTGTCAGTCGAGCCAGCACCGTGCTATACGGTGTCAATCGAGCCAGCACTGGTGCAAAGCGAGGTGCTGGCCCAAGTGATGCAACACTCCAGCTGCTGATGCTGATGGTGGCGCCAAAATAGGTGATACTCCGCAGGTGACGCGCTCAGCGTGGCACTCACACACACACACACACACACACACACACACACACACACACACACACACACACACACACACACACACATTGTGTCACGATATAGTAGACCCACACTCTAATGACTCTACTGATAACGACACTGAGATACGAGGATTGACTGCAAGCGAGACCCTTGAGGGGCGAAGCCTGGTGCAGTTGGACAAGTGGAAGGAGGAGGAGAAGAAGGAGCATGGAAGAGGAGCAGGTAAAGAGAGGAGGAGCAGGGAGGAGGTACGGGTATTACGGGCGGTCATTTTAGCGAGTGCAGGAGGCTCAGTGATACGGGTCCAATCTCGAATTACGCTGCATCGGGTCGGTCACCTCTGATTTCTTCTCAAGGGGAGACGGGGAGACATTGGAGAACCGCCGTGATGAGCTCTGTCCTGCCTCTCGCCGTGACCAGCTCTGTCCTGCCTCTCACCGTGACCAGCTCTGGCCTGCCTCTCACCGTGACCAGCTCTGGCCTGCCTCTCGCCGTGGCCAGCTCTGGCCTGCCTCTCGCCGTGATCAGCTCTGGCCTGCCTCTCGCCGTGACCAGCTCTGGCCTGCCTCTCGCCGTGATCAGCTCTGGCCTGCCTCTCGCCGTGACCAGCTCCGTTAATACATATAGCAGGATAGCAGAAACAGGAACACTGTTAATCACCTTCTACACGAACTCTCATCAAAGCCAGCGGGATCTCAGAGCCCCACATGGGACACCGAATATCACTAACACAACTAAATGGCTCTACCCACACCGTCAAGCCATTGTGTCGCTCCCACACCTGCAATAACCGGTTCGCCTCCCACAAATCTCGCGTTGTGTCAGCAACGCGAAGCTTCCTTCCAGCGCGTGAAGCCGCAATTTCCCCTCCCTCCCTTACTCCGATAAAACATGCATTGCCCGTGACGACCCGTCGCATCCCCGTCCCCTTCGACGACCCCCCCTTACAGGTACTAAGCTATCCTTCCCTTATATACCTGTGTCAAGCCCCCGCCCCCCCCCTCACCTCACTGCCTCCTGTATGTAACACTATGCGTAACGCCGTCACCAACAGATCGCACGCTTAACGTTACTAATGTATGCCGTTCTGTTATCAGTTCCGCTAGTCTGTTGATTTGGCTACGATGTGTGACTAGTTGATAGCAGGAACACTGTTAAATGATCACAACTGTGTTGTGTTGCAGATGCCAAAGTATTAGATATATATATATATATATATATATATATATATATATATATATATATATATATATATATATATATATATATATATAATAACAAATAAAACTTCCAGGATTCAAATCACTTGTAAAGACGATAAGAGGTACAAAGATGAACTAGACTGGGTTATGCTAGAGAGGACAAGGCTGGCAAGTCTTCGCCTTCTCCCTTCCTTACTCATGAATACCTTACTCATGAATACCTTACTCATGAATACCTTACTCATGAATACCTTACTCATGAATAAACAGTATTTTCTTTACGTTTCTTTCTCTCTCCTTTCCAGAAAAAAATAACCTTGGCTGAAATGAACAGACTGATACTAATATTTTCCCCCCAAGAAAACCTTGGCTGAAATGTACAGACTGATACTAATATTTTTGTTTTGGGATATTGTTGATTCAAGAACTTGGCTTGCGTTAGTAAGTCAGCGAATTTTGTTCTGTATATATTATTAAGTTTCCAGAGCACCAGCTTCTTCCCTGTCACCGGAAGCCAAACTGTGTTCACTATGGTCATCTCTCTCTCTCTCTCTCCTCTCCCAAGGAGGTGACGAGCCACAGGACCTCTTATTCATTTACGATTCTTGAGAATAAAAGAAGGTGACGTTGAGCAAGACGTGAGACTAATGTGCCTAAGAATAACTTAAGTTGGCTGCTGCCTGCTGGCAACACTTGAAATTATTAGTTTTCTTACTAGTGATAAAGTTAATTGTCTAAAATCTTGCATAAACTAATTTCTCTCTTGAATATAACATGATACACCTAAAGAGGGCGAAGATGTGTAGCTTTAATAACTGCAAATAATGTAAAAACAATAATATTATTATGCAGACGAGGAGTCACAATAACGTGGCTGAAGTATATTGACCAGACTTCATACTAGAAGGTGAAGGGACGACGACGTTTCTGTCCGTCCTGGACCATTCTCAAGTCGATTGTGACTTGAGACCATTCACAATCGACTTGAGAATGGTCCAGGACGGACCGAAACGTCGTCGTCCCTGCACCTTCTAGTGTGGTATGGTCAACAATAATATTATTATTTTTACTTAAATGAAGCCGTCAGAGAGAAACCTCCCTAAAGTACGTCAAAGTTGTGACTCACGGTACGATGGCCACCTTCCCTCGATAACAATAACAAACTGATGAGTGATGACTTGATGGTGAGCCGGAGAGGGTAATCTCACTGACGTCAAATTAAATTCTTTTGAACTACTGACACGGCCGCAAATTAATTCTGGATAAAAGATAACCGGAATAAATAGCAAGTAAACAATTGAATCAATGGTCTGTAAAGGGTAATAAATGGCCCTGAACGGATAACTGTTTAGGATATCGAAAAATAATACCCTTTATGCCCGAGACACGACAAGGGGTCAGTGACATACGGGTTTGGATTGCCTTAACATTTTAAATAATAAACTAGTGGTCAGGGTGACCAGTAACTTTCATAATGAAAATAAATCTGACGAACAAATCCACAAGGGCCGTGACGAGGATTCGAACCTGCGTCCGGGAGAATCGCAGACACTGCCTTAATCGACTGAGCTACGACAGGGTAAACAAAAGAGTTGAAACCGAAGTTCTAATCTTGTGGATTTGTTCCTTTGATGCTTCACGTTAGTGTGATCTCTGTGTGTAATACATCTGATGAGTTGCAGCCACCTGTAAATTTTAGGTAGCATTACTTAGTAAATATTGTCAATAGATGTAAATATTGAGATGTCGATAGGCCCTAATAACTATCCTGAGGTTGGTAGGCCTTGGTAACCATCCTGTGGTTGGTAGGCCTTGGTAACCATCCTGTGGTTGGTAGGCCTTGGTAACCATCCTGTGGTTGGTAGGCCTTGGTAACCATCCTGTGGTTGGTAAGCCTTAACCATTCTGAGGTTGGTAGGCCTTGGTAACCATCCTGTGGTTGGTAAGCGTTAACCATCCTGAAAATGATAGGCCTAAAATAAAAAATAAATAAAAATGATTTTAAATCATAAATTGGTGTGTGATCCATTTGTGCAATAATGAGACTGATAATTGTAAAGAGGTTACGTAAGTTCTTGATATATGAGGACGAGCATATATGAGGCCGACCATATATGAGGCCGACCATATATGAGGAGGACCATATATGACCATATATGAGAGGACCATATATGAGGACGACCATATATGAGGAGGACCATATATGAGGAGGACCATATATGAGGAGGACCATATATGAGGACGACCATATATGAGGACGACCATATATGAGGAGGACCATATATGAGGAGGACCATATATGAGGACGACCATATATGAGGACGACCATATATGAGGACGACCATATATGAGTGAGGTTCCTGCAGCAACTTGGCGGACCGCGCTCTTCATTATTTTTGAGGTGAGTGAGATTAGCACAAGATTACCTCACACACCTGCCTCACACTTGTACCACAGACCCCTGTCTCACACACCTGCCTCACACTTGTACCTCAGACCTCTGTCTCACACACCTGCCTCATAACTGTACCTCAGACCCCTGTCTCACACACCTGCCTCACACTTGTACCTCAGACCTCTGTCTCACACACCTGCCTCATAACTGTACCTCAGACCACTGTCTCACACACCTGCCTCACACTTGTACCTCAGACCACCTGTCTCACACACCTGCCTCACACTTGTATCTCAGATCCCTGTCTCACACATCTGCCTCACACTTGTACCTCAGACCTCTGTCTCACACACCTGCCTCACACTTGTACCTCAGACCACCTGTCTCTCACACCTGCCTCACACTTGTACCTCAGACCACCTGTCTCACACACCTGCCTCACACTTGTATCTCAGATCCCTGTCTCACACACCTGCCTCACACTTGTACCTCAGACCCCTGCCTCACACACCTGCCTCAGACCCCTGTCTCACACACCTGCCAGACACTTGTACCTCAGACCCTTGTCTCACACACCTGCCTCGCTCCCCAACCTCACACCTGCGCCTCACGTAATATTAATCCTCACAGCAAGGGTGGTGGGTGGGGGGGGGGGGGCAATAAGCCCTCCCCTCTGTACCCAAACTACAACCGAACTAAAACATTTTATGTACCGTGGATTAAGTTCAGTTGGGCGCGGTTCTGGGCCAAATCCTCCTCCACAGCCCTCGCTATACCAGCAGCAAAAAAAAAAAACATTTTTTATATATAGGAAGTTTTACAGCAAGTGCATTTGTTTTCATGCGAGAATTGCATTCCAGATACTCAAGGCGATGAATGCTGGATTCCCCTTCCAAAATATATAATTTTTTACGTAGCAACATCAAGAATAAAATATTATTAGTTGTGATAAAACTAATAATATTAATCTAGATATACATATTCCATTAATGTAAGGTAAGTACTTACCTAATTTACCTAATTGTGCTTGCGGGGGTTGAGCTTTGGCTCTTTGGTCCCGCCTCTCAACCGTCAATCAACTGGTGTACAGGTTCCTGAGCCTACTGGGCTCTATCATATCTATATATGAAACTGTG